TTTTTTTTTTTTTTTTTCAGAACCAGGGATTGAACTCATGCCCTTGCGCTTGCCAGGGAAGCGCTTATTCCACTGAGCCATCTCCCTGGCCCTTCTATTTTTACGTTTTTGAGACAAGATCTTCCACTACTCAGGCTGAGTGTGACTCTGGCAACCCTCTCACCTTAGCCTCCGTGTCCTGGGGTTAGTCATGCACCACCAGCCCTGGATTTTTTCAGAGTCTAATACTCATTTTTTTTTTTTTTTCTAATGCTGCGTAACACTCCAGGGTTTGCACGTATCAGTTTATCCCTTCGCCTACAGGTGACCTGTTCTTAATTTTTATTTTTTTGTGATCTGCGGAGTAAAGCCGAGGGGCTCAGCAATGCTAGGTAAGTGCTCTCCACTGAGCCCTCCCAGGTCCTGGAGGTTATTTTGGTTGCCCTCAAGTTTTGGCAAGCTGCAACGAACATCACAGAAGGGTTTTTGTGTGGATTTAAGTTTTGAACTCTTCGGGTAAATGCCAGGTAGTGCAAGAGCTTGGGCACAGGGTAAGTGTGTTCACTTTTCTAAGAAACTGCCAAGCCGCCTTCCTAACTAGCTGTAGCATTTTCCCATCAATAATGAAGGACAATTCGTGTTGCTCAGCATCCCTGCTAGCACGTGGTGTCATTGCCGTTCTGGATACTGGCCTACAGCACAGATGTTTGGCGCCATCTTGTTTGCATGAATGTTTCCCAATGACACGTTTTTTTTTTTTTTTTTTTTTGGTACTAGGAATTGAACTCAGGACCTTCTGCTTGCCAGGCAAACACTTATTTCACTGAGCTATCTCCCTGGCCCATGGTGCCGCTCTTCATGCACTTGTTTGTTGTCTGTTTATTTTCTTTGGTGAGGGGTCTATTGAGGTCTTTGGCTCATATTCAGTAAGGTTATTTTCTTATTCTTAAATTTTAGAAGTTCTCTAAATTTTTTAGTTAGGTCTTTTATCAGATGTCTTTTGCAGACTATTTTCTCCCAGTCTGTAGCTTCTATGTTCACTCCCTGGCCAGTGTTTCTCACAAAGCAGACACTGTAACTTTAATAAAGGCAGCTTACCCATTATTTACTTGCTGGATCATGCCTTTGCTATCATTCTTTTTTTCTTTTTCTTTTTTTTATTGGATACAGGGTCTCACTACACAGCTTGGACTCACAGTGATCCTCCTTTTATTGGATACAGGGTCTCACTACACAGCTTGGACTCACAGTGATCCTCCTGTTTCAGCTTCCCCAGTACTGGGATTACAGGCGTGCGCCAGCACACCTGGTCTCAGCTGGTATGGTGTGCCCAGGTTTCAAGGTCCCAGGGCCAGCACAGCATGTGGTACTGGGGACTGAACTTGGGTCCCGGCACTTGCCAAGCAGGCACTTAGCTATCTCTCTAGCCTACTGTTCTATTTTTTTTTTTTTTTTGTATTTAGGTCAGGGTGTACAGGGTCTCAGTGCATAAATCAGACTTGTAGCGATCCTCCTGTTTACAGCCTCCCAAGTGCTGGGATTACAGGCACATACGCACATGCTCCCACACCTGGTCTAGACAGCAGGCCCTGGGGACAGGGCCAGCACGGCAGGCCAGGAGACTGAATTCCCAGCCCGTGTCTGCCTAAGCAGGTACTTTAATCCGATGAGCTATTTGGCTGGCCCCTCCCTAGCCTACTGCTCTCTTAAAACAAGTCAGCACACACCTGCCTGGTGTCCACTTTTACGGATCTGCCACATGGTGTCTGATATTAATGAGGGGAAGTTCTCAGTTATTATTTCAAATGTTGCTTTGTTTCCCCCGATTGTCTTTTGGTATTTATTCCTATTACACATAAGCTACATCTTCTGCAGCTTTTCCACAGTTCCTTGAAGACCTGTTGTTTCTTTCAGACTTTTTTTCTTTTTGCTCTTTAGCTGTAGACATTTCTACAGAGATATCCTTAAGCTCTGAGATCTTTCCTCAGTTGTGTCTAATCTTCGGATAAGGTCATCAAGAGTACACTTCCTTTCTGTTTTGGTGTTTCTGACTTGCAGCATTTCTTTTTGATTCCTAGATTTTCCAACCTGCTTAACCTGCCTATCCTTTCTTGCACACTGTCTATCCATTAGAGTCCTTAGTTATTACTCATGCTTGGTTTAAATTCCTGGCCTCCTAATTCCAAGGAGGAATCATGCTTGGTTTAAATTCCTGGCCTCCTAATTCCAAGGAGGAATGATATATATCATTCTTGGTCTGATGCCAGCTGTCTCTTCTAACACTTGCCTTTTGGCTTCAGTGTATTTCTCGATAGCCAAATGTAATGTGCTGAGGAAAAGGAGAGACCATAATCACTCCAGGGTGCAGTACGGTGCTGGGAGGGGGCACCTAGAGCTTTCCCCTGGGGTGTCTCTAGCAAGCCTCTGTCCCTGAACTGGGAGCATGGCGTGCACTTCCACTTAGTGCTTTGGTTTCCTCTCCATGGGACAGAATGGCTACAGCTGACGTAGCCATTCACCTAAGTCAGTCAAACTCCAATAAACCTGAAGAGGCGCTCTGGGGCAGTAGTTTCTCCTGAGGAACTGCCCTGGTTAAGGGAGAACCTGACAAAGCTTCAGGTGGTGCAGAAGCCCACGCTGGCCCCGCCGCCAGCCCCGCAATCAGAAAGTCACACCTCAGGGCTTCTTGGGGCTGTGCTGGGCTCTGCAAGCCACCTCTCCAACCTGGGAGCAGCAGTTAGCTCTGTGACCTCGGATTAAGAAGTTACTGAATCTTCAGCCTATTCAACTTGTTACTTGTTAAGAGCAAAGCTTTGGGCTGCAGAGAGAGAGGCATAGGTGCCTGCTTGGCAAGTGCAAGGTTGAGTTTGATCCCCAATATGTATGTATATACACCCTGTTTCAAGAGTAAAGCTCTTGGGTGCTAGACTGGAAACTAAATGTCTTACCTTTTAGATAACGATTCAGTATGAGTTCAGCTTAAGGATTTAGTATCTGCTTTGAAATACCCTGTGCTGTGAATATCTTTCATGCGTATACAGAAGCACGTATGTTCACACTCAATGAGGGCATGCTGAAGAATTCTACAGATTTGCCAGGTGAAAGGACAATGGGGACAAAGCGCAACACTGCTGCTGACCACACATTTACCAGGCTCTCAGGAAGACTGCTCTATTTACTCTGTGACAAAATACTTCTAAAGTTAAGTTCCTTTTCCATTCCTTCCATGTACAGTAAGCACATTACTGTCTTTAGCTATGACAGAGCCTGCTCTGCTCCCTCCACACCCTCAAGAGTGGGCCCTGGAGCCAGGCTGACCCAGCCCGAGCTCTTCCCCAGGGTTTTTCTGAGGGCAGGGGGGAACTCTTTCCCCGGGGGCAAAGCTGACCAGAGAGGACAAAGCTAGAACATACCAGCAAGGAGTCTGACAGCCTTAAAGTTCCTGGAAGGAGCCACACACGATGCCACCAATGCCCAGCCCTATCCCTTTACTACCACCACTGTCACCACCCACTGCTACTTTTTCCTTCTCACTTTAAAGCCACTGGAATTGGGCTTATGTCTCTTGCAGGCAGGAAAGAGTTTGCTATTTTTTTTAACCTCTTCTCCAGAATGTCTCCTGTGCGCAAACAGAGAAAAGACAGCAGAGTTATACTGCAAAAGTCATTCATATTAGAAAGAAGCATATGTTCTGGATACTTCACTCTGAAGAATCCAAAGGACTCCTTCTGGCACAGAACACTGGATGGAAATAAGCAGATTTCTGAGGGCAGAGCAGAAAGGACAACAGCTTTAATTTGTTTTCTCCTGGACATCTACTCTAAAGGCACCACAAACCAGACCACCCTGGTGAGTGGAAGCGACTCAGATTAACCAGAAATCATAAAACTGCCTAAAATCCCAATTCAAAATGGGACAATTATTTTGTCCCTTTTCCCTCCTGGAGGAAAAGATGTCCTGTCTTCTCTGGGACAGGGAACCCGAGGAACAGTAAGCAGGCAAAGGACATTGTGTTCAGCTCCTATAGCCACTAAATTACCTCCACTTCAATGATATCATCCAGGGACCCCAACAAAAGAGTTATTCCAATGTCTTGAACTTTACAATCCAGCAGCAAGTTATGCTTCTCTAAGCGTTTCTGTTCCAGCGAAGTCTGAATTACCACAACTTCTTTTTGCAATTTTCCTACTTCCCTGTAAATACACAGACATTAAAAAGTAATTTTACTCACTGTGCAAAGCTTCATCAAGGCAGGAAAATGTTACATTATAAATTTCCATGAAGGGGCTGGCCAAATAGCTCAGTGGATTAAAGCGGCTGAGGCGCAGGGGCCAAGGGCCAAGCAGGCGCAGGGCCAAGCAGGCGCAGGGGCCATGGGCCAGGGGTTCAATCCCTGGACCTGCCATGCCAGCCTCACCCCCGGGGTGTGCTGAGATGGCAATTGAGAGTGGGCGTGGGGGCGCACACCTGTAACCCCAGCTCTTGAGAAGCTGTAAACAGGCAGATCACTACGAGTCTGATCTAGTAATGAGACACTGAACACCCTGTAGACCCTTTCCTAAAAACACAAAAAATAAAAATAAATAAAAAAAACTTCCGTGAAGGGCTGGCCAGACAGCTCAAGAGACTAAAGTGCCTGCTTAGGCAGAGCGCAGGGGCCAGGGTTTGATCTTCAGCAGCACAGGCCGTGCTGGCCCTGTCCCCAGGGTGCGCTGCGATGGTGACTGAGACTGGACATGATGGTGCAAACTTGTAGTCCCAGTTCTTGAGAGGCTGAAAACAGGCAGATCATGAGTCTGACCTACGTAGTGAGACCCTGCAGACCCTATACTAAATAAATAAAAAAACACAAAACACAAAAAAATAAAGCTCCATGAGGAAGACCACTTTGTCCAAGAGTGCTGCAAGTGCTAGGGTTTGTAATTTGTACACTGATGTTCCTGGGAAGGTTGGGGTGTGACCCAGGTGCCCCCGGAGTATTTCTCAGTGACAGGCACCTCTGCTTTGCAGGGTCAGACAGTGCATTCCCACTGCTTTCCTTTTAGGTCTGTGCAATTTTTCCTGCTGCAGCTCTCTCTCCTGCGTGCGCTGCATCTCAGTGCTTCAGATGAGGTGCAGCCTCTGCATGAGAGATAGATACCTCTGCTGCATCCATGTCCAGGAGTCCGCAGTGCGTGTACTACACCACCACTGCGGCACCGCTCCGGAAAATGTACTGTGACGCCACCAGCTGGAGCAACTCAGGAAGAGGACAGAGAGAAAGTCAAGAAGGAAGTGAGGAGGCAGGGGAAGGCAGGACGAAGAGATGGACGACGGACGGACGATGGATGGATGGACGGACGGACAGGTGGGAGGAGGGACATAAGGTTTTCAAGAATATGAAAAGAAACAGAATTAGTCCTGCTTAAATAACACAAGAATAAAAGGTCATCAAGCAGACAGATTTTAATCCCACTCAAAAACCTTGAGACTGGATCTCAAAGCACTGACGGCCTTGGACGCAAGGAAACTAAGATGCCAGGACACTGCACAAAGCCCACTTCATCTGGCCACTCAGGCCGCGCCGATCCAACAGGAAAGGTGATGACTGTCTTGCACTAGGCGATGCCAGGCAGCCTCAGCACGCGGCAGATACGCCTATCAGACACCAGGCACTCAGGTGCTGTTCAGTGGCAATTCCTTAGTCCTTGGGACTACTCAACAAGGCAGGCACTTCTGCTAGCCCCACTTCAGTGATGAGCGAACGAAGGCGCAGTGAATAAGGAACAGGCAGCGCGGCTTGATTCTCCTCCCCTTACACTCCAGGTTGTGGTGCACTGATGGAGACCAAGGCTTTTGCCCCCACTCTCATCTCTAGAAGATCACGCATTCTACCATACTTTTTTTTGTACCAGGGCTTGAACTCAGAACCTTGTACTTGCCAGGCGAGCGCTTATGCCACTGAGCTATTTCCCTGGCAAAAAATTTGCATTTTGAATTGACAGACACACATGTTTAAAGAGCTGCCTAAGACTTTCACATCAAGAATTTGTAGTTACCTATCAACAGCCAGAAACTTCTTCCGCTCCTCCTCAACCTGAGTGTGAACTTTCTCAGCACTGGAATTCTGAGCGACTAGTACATCCTTAAGCTGCTTCTGCTTTGCCAAGAGTTCTTCCACAACCTGCAGACAGTCATCCTCCACCTGAACAGAGAGGGTTCACGTTGCAAATCTGCCATCCTGGCACCACCTCAGCCCGCGGATTCTGGCATTATCAGCAGGCCAGCCCAGCTGTTCCGAGACACACGCCATCCCATGTAAGGCAGGCGGAGGGAGCCTGTCATGGGCCATGACCTGCATCACACCTTCTGGACACTGGCAGTCGCTACCTGCCTTTGTCTTTCCTTTTAGATTTATGCCTCAGCATGCTGACCACACCTCCAGAGACAGTGCTCCTGCAATGAGCTGGCCTCCGGCTGCCACTGCACTCCTGCAGCGCGGGCTCCTGACTCTCCAATGCAGCACCCCTCACCTGCCTGGCCTCCAGGATCTCAGCACCGGCCCTGGGACCAGTGTACTCTATGGCACCTGAAACTGTCTCAACCTCCCATAAAGTTTCAGTTCACTCCCCATCTGTGGCTCCAGTCTGACTTCTCTGACACCTGCAGGCCTTGTTTTTAAAAGATAGTTTCATTTATTTATTTATATTATTATTATTATTATTATTATTATTACTTGGACCTTGCACCCATCAGGCAAGCATTTATGCCCCTTAGCTATCTCTCCTACACCTGCAGGCTCTTTAACGCCGCTGGAGACGCCCTCAGGGCCTCGCCTAGGTAGTCAGCTCCAGAGCGCAGCCTCCCGTCTCCCACCTCAGAGCTCAGGCAGGAGCCTGTGGCGCCCCTCACGCTCTCCCAGGCATCCAGGGACCCAGGGAGCTCTGGGACTTACTTGAAGCTGCCCTCGTCCCTGAGGACCCTTTGGGAGCTGAGCACACAGCCCCCACGCAGAGGCCCAGCCACCACCCGCATCCATTACCTTCCTCAGGCGGTCCATGTCTTCTCTACCTTTCTGGACAGTTTCTTTCAATGTGCTGATTTTGCTCAGTTTCTTCTTCAGCAGATTGCGACTGTATTCAAGCTGAATATTAAGCCGGGTTTTTTGTTTTTCAAACTCTAATCTAGTATAATAAACATTACAAGTGATAAGTAGATGCTTTCTTTTCAAACTCTCTTTCATTGTAAGCCCATTTTCTGCTTCCCCCCACTACACAATTATCAGAAGCGAATCCCAGGCATTGTTTCATTTCATCTATAAGTTTATCTGACAGTGAAGTAACTTTTAATTCAAAAATATAACCTATGACAGCTTAAAAGCATACACTGTACCCTCGTCACTGCCAAAATTCCTCATAATCTCATTAATTAAATAAATATTTTATTTTTGGTACTGGGAATCGAACTCAGGGCCTTGCACTTGTGAGGCAGGCACTGTGCTGCTGAGCCACATTCCCAGTCCTTACGTAACTACTTCTATCGGGATGCACACATTGCATATGGGCAATACATTTCTTAAATCTTAAAATCGACAGCTGTCTCCTGTCATTGAGTTATAACTTAGGTGCTTACTCTTCTAAGTAAATCAGCATGTTGAATAGCTATTCACATACATGCTTCAGAAGGGGGACCTCGTGAACGTTTCCTCCGTGGAGCCCTCCTCTACAGTGCCAGCCTCCTACAACCATCCAGAGACTCTCAGCCCCAGTGGGGCTCCTGTTCTCCTCTCTCTTTCCAGACTTTTCTTTCAAGAAGCACTCTTAGCATTAACTATAGTGGACAATGAGCTAGATACACAGATCCCAAAACAACAATAAAAACAAAGGGACAATTAATGAGAGCTCACTCTGTGCCTGTTACCAAGGTCCTCCACAGGACCAGAGGCGAGTTACACTATCATTCCTGTTTAGCAGACAAGAAACCAAGGCAGAGTTCAGAGGCAGGAGGGAGTGGAGCCTGGTGTGACACACTTGGGACAACCAAGTCTCCACACGTGACTACTGACAAGGTCACAGAAAAAAGTCCATAAGGGATCCTAGAAAATATTCCTGATACTACAGCAACAAAAAATAATTCTAAGCTTTGTGAGATGCATCTTAAATAGAATTTCAGAGAGTAATGAATAGCTTGAAACGGACAGGTTAGATAAAAAGTCTAAAATAATGTGTCTATCTTAAAAAGCCAGAAAACAACAGTAAATTAAAAGAAAACAAGGAAGGAGAAAATAAACAGCAGAATCAATAAAAGAAACAAATTACAGAGAAAACCAATGACATCAAGAGCTAGTCTTAGGGTCAGTGAAACATATCTCTACCTGTTTGCAAGAACAGAGAAAAGACAAGCCACCAACATCAGGAATGAAAGCCTATCAAGACAGATCCTACAGACTTTTTAAGAAGTAGAATATAAATTATACATAAATTTATGTTAAGCTTGGCAGCTTAGATAAAATACATGATTCCAAAAAAAATACATGATTCCTGGAAAGATACAAACTACCAAAGTTCACCCAAAAAAAGAGATACCCTGAATACCTTATATTGTATTTATTAAGAATCTGAATCTGTAATTAAAAGCTTTCCTACATACATTCCTGTAATCCCAGAACTCTGGGAGGAGGCAGAGGACTGCAAGTTTGAGCCCACCTGTGCAATTTGGTGACCTAGCAAGACCGTCTCAAAGCAACAATTTAAAAAAGGGCTGAGGGGCTGGGGAGATAGCTCAGTAGAATAAAGCACAAGGTCCTGAGTTCAATCCCTGGTACCACAAAAAAATAATAAAAAATAAAAAAGGGCTGTGGATGTACCACAGTGTAGAAGGCCCTGAGTTCAAACCTCAAGACCACAAAAAACAAAACAAAACACACTAACTTTCCCACAAACAAAAGCAGGTGGCCCACACAATTTCAAACATTTAGAAACAATACCATTTCTACCTGAACTGCAGAAAAAAATGATAGAACAATTTTCAGCTCATTTTATATCTAGCATTAGCTGGACAAAACATGACATGGACATTACAAGAACAGAACAATACACTCAGAAAATGAAGTCCTTAATACAATTTTAACAAAATAAATCCAAAAACATATGAAACCCTAACCCCAAATACATAGAACACTAAGCTGGGTTTACCTGAGATATGCAAGGTGGTTTAGCATTTTAAAATCAATATAATGAACTATTTTTATTTACTAAAAATAAACTCAACCATCATAATAAAAATCCAACCATACAAGCATCCTGACAAAATTCAACATTTATCTGTGATAAAAAAGTAGAGGGTAACATAAAAGAATTGTACAGAACAAAAGGGAACTTCCGTGACACAACGAGGACACCCTGAGCGTCCACACTTCACTGAGAAAGACCCAAGGCTTTGTCCTCAAGCAGGGGAACAAGGCAGGGTGTCTGCCCTCTCCATCTTAGCTTAGCACTGTCCTGGAGCCCTTGCTAGCACAACAGGCAGAAAGACATAAAATATATTAATCGGAAAGGAAGAAGTAAACTTTTTTATTCACTGTCAGTACAGTTACCTATGCAGAAACCAGAAGGACTCTACAAAAGAGCTAAAAGAACTATTAAGTTTCAAGCTGGCTGTGTGACACCCCATCACTGGGAGGCTGAGGCAGGAGGACTGCTGTGAGTTCAAGGCCAGCCTGAACTACAAAACAAAACCTTGTCTCAATAAGTAAGTGAATAAATAAATGAATAAATAAATAAAATAAAAACCAAAAAACTAGTTTTATTTCAATATACTACCAGCAAGCAATTTTATACTGAAATTTAAAAATAATTCCACTTAAACTAGCATAGAGACACAAAATGTTTAAGAACAAAAACAATAAAATATGCACAAGACCAAACCTGAATACTAGACTACTAATGAGAGAAATCAAGGATAACCTAAATAAATGGAGGTAAGTGCCATGCCTCGGGGGCAGTTCCAAGGTCTCAAACTGATCTATAGATTCAGCACAAGCCCTACCAAAATCCCAGCAGGCTTTAGCTAGCCAAGAAAAGCTGATGCTAACATGTCCATGCAAATGCAAAGGGCTGAGCTTAGGAACAAGAACAAGCCTTCCTGGCCCCTGCGGAAGCCACAGTCCCTGGAGGTGCCCACAGGAGATCCACACACGGGCAGTAGCAAGCGTGTGCTGGACGAATGAAGAGAATCAACACTTGATGAAAAATACCTGTTCCATGTTATGCCCAAGATGTTTGATATTCAGACAGACAGTGAGGTTAAGCTTAACAGCCTGGGTTGTATGGTAGTAACAATAAACTTCTCTTCTGGAGGGTTAAC